GACCGGCACTGAAACCCGACCGAAAAATGCAAAGTTCTCCAAAGTAAAAACTAAGTATATAAAACACTTATTTAATGTATTTTTATGTCAAAACAAGATTTTTAAGTTGAAAACCACGTCGTTAAGGTAAAAACCACGGTTGACCAAGTCAACACCGTACACGGGTGGTTTTCACCAAAAGACAAAACCGAAAGGTGGTTTTCATGATGTTTTGATTGGAGAACCATTTAAATGCATTCAAAAACAATTCCCACACAAAAAGACTTGAAAACCACTTCATTTAAGTAAAAACCACGGCTAGCCAAGTTTATGTCGTTTTGCGTGGTTTTTATCAAACGACAAAAAACGAAAGGTGGTTTTTGAAGTGTTTTTGATGAAAAACTATTTAAATGTGCCCAGAAGTAAAAACCAGTCATAAAAAGTTGAAAACCACTTGGTTAGTTCGGACGCCAAAAACCAACGCCGAAAACCGAACGCCGAACGCCGGTTTCCAAAACCCGAACGCCGGATGGCTTGGTTTTTGGTTTGGGCGAACACCAAGTGTTTTTAACGTTTTAAACATGTTTGAAAAACATTTTTATGATGTGTGAAATTCAATGAAAAGAATTTTAGCCTAAAGAGCCAAAGTGCAAAGCTTGGGTCGGTCTTAATCTCATTGTGACCGACTCAACGATGCTAAAGACTACGGTCTTCGTTCTTGATCTCTTTTAGCTCTTGTTCTCTTGCTTTCATCTTATATTTATTTCTCGCCTTGTATATTCAACAACTTGTCTCATTCACGGCGGTTTGGCATTATCAAAACCTGTCATAAAAACGAACACGGCTTAAGTACGAAAACACGTTAAACCCGTGTTTCAACATTCAGGACGTGGTTGATGAGAACTAGTCTTCCAGCATGATCAAGGCTCCTCTGGTACCAGCCATTCAGTTTGCTGTCAAAGGATTGAATAAGACCCGCACAGTGACCTGCCCTTGTGATTCCAAGATCAATAGGAGTGCCAAGGTAAATGAACGGAAATTTTCTATGAGACATATTCATGATTTTTTCCAGCTTTGTGATCTGCAAAGTGTTGACTTTCTTTCCTACCATAAAGCTGCTCTTATGATAGTTAATGGTTTGACCTGAGACAAGTTGATATGTATTGAGGAATTTCATCAAATTGGAAATAGACCTAAAATCACCAGAGGAGAAAATAATCATGTCATAAGCGTAAGATAGGTGAGTGATTGGGATGGAGTGCCTCCCACAATTGAACCTGTCCACAATGCTCTTAAGGAATAGGTTGTTCAGATTTCTGGAGAATCCTTCATTACCAATGATGAATAGCAAAGGAGACAAAGGGTCTCCCTGCTTGATGCCCCTTGATTGCCCAAAAAAACCACATGGTTTACCATTGAGGAGAATTGAGTATTTGGAGGACACCAGGAGGTTCTCAATCATGTTGATGAACTGTGAACAGAATCCAAATCTCTGAAGGATGTCTAGAAGATAGGACCACTTCACTTTGTCAAAGGCTTTGGCAAGGTCCAATTTAATAATTAGGTTTCCTCCTTTAGCTTTCCTATTGATGTTATGGACCAGCTCCTTGGTAATGAGAATTTGATCCAGCATTTCTCTCCCAGGCACATATGCTGCTTGTTCTTCCGAGATAATTTCTGGAAGAATCCTGCACAACCTTTTAGCAATGCACCTAGTAGCTAGTTTGGAAGCTACAGTGGAAAGACAAATAGGTCTAAAGTCATTTAATTTGTTGGCATTCGCAACTTTAGGTAGCAAACATATGTTAGAACTGGCAGCTGCTGTAGTCATGGGGATTCCAAGGAATACTTCTTGACAGGCAGAGGTAACATCCCGTTTAACAATATCCCAGCATCCCTTGAAGAATGTTACATTGAATCCATCCGGTCCAGCGCATGAGTTTGCATCCATTCCCCACAGAATGTCTTTGAGTTCCTGCTCTGAAGGAAGTGCCATCAATTTGGTGTTTTGTTCATTGTTGATCAAGTGGGGGATGGAAGCCATAAAGTCATTATACATTTCCGGTGTTGCTGCTTGCTCTGTTCCATTGAAAAGGGTGGAAAAATGATGTACCACCATGTCTTCCAAAGAGCATGTGTCTTGAATAGCTTCTCCGTTTTCATTCATCAAGACATTAATCCTCTGCGTTCTTCTTTTTTCCTTCACAAGACCGTGAAAGAATTTGGTGTTGGCATCTCCTTCTTTGAACCACTTCAAGCTGCATTTTTGTTTCCAGAAGTGGTACTCCCTGTTTGAAACGTCTGCAAGGACAGCCTGTTTTTGGTTGAGAAGGATCTTATTAGTCGTAGTGGGATTTGTGTGAAATAAAATTTCTGCTCTGGTAGCCTCATCTTCAGCTTCTTTAAGCATGTCAAAAACATTTCCAAAGCTGGTTTTGTTCCAGGCTGATAATTTCCCTTTGAGATGATGAAGCCTTGTGAACAGACTCTTCATTCCCCCATGAAAAGGAACTTCTTCCCAGCTCTTTTTGCAGTAATCCATAAAGTCCTCTTTAAGTAGCCACATGTTTTGGAATCTGAAAGCTTTGGAGGTGTGAGTGTCTCCAATTTGAGAGGTGAAGAGAAGAGGGCAGTGGTCACTTCCATTTTTAGCCATGTGAGTCAAAGAGGTTCTTGGCCATTTAGTATCCCAGACATCATTAAAAAAGACTCTGTCAAGTCTTTTCCACACATTGCCATTGCTTCTCGCTCCATGCCAAGTGAAAGAAGGTCCTGTGAATGTAGGTTCTTTGAGGTTGCAGTCCTTAATGCAGTCACTGAAATCACACACTCCCTCCAAATCAGGTAGCCTAGACCCTTTATGGTGAAGAAGGTCAGAAATTGCGTTGAAGTCCCCTCCTAGACACCAAGGAAGGACATTGTTACTATGAAGGGAAACAATGTCATTCCATAGCTGCTTCCTTGCAGATGTAGAGTGCCCACCATAAACGCAGCTGATGATAAAGTCATTATCCATGTTGAGGTCATGTAAAAGAAAATGACAAATTTGTCCATAGTCCTTGCTGTTACAAAGGGAGTATATTGATTTATCCCAAAAAAAACCAGATTTTGTTGTTGGCAATAGACTGATAGCCAGAGAAACCGAGCAAAAAAGAATACTTAGAACATTTAGTGGCAGGAATCATCGGTTCAATAATGCAAAGGAAATTTAGTTTATGGTGCTTTTTGAGGAGGGTGTGTCTTTTGCACCGACGAGAGACTCCCCTTATATTCCAAAAGAGTAAATTAATCATTGAAGTGCTAAGAAGACGCCATTCCCAGACTTCTTGAAATCTGATCTTGTTCGAACTCTAGCCAAAGAAACTGGTGAAGGAGGACATGAATATGAGGTATGTTTGAGTGGGATATCTTCAACCAATTGTGTTGTTTGTGAGGGAGTGCTTGGTATCTCTAAAGTATTTTCTGGGGTTTCTATGCATGTGTCTGCTGAGGAGTGAGCTACACCAGAGGTATCCAAATACATGGTACCAGAGCTCTGTAGGATAACTGGCCTACGAGAGGCCCCAGTCCTGGAGGTTTCTTCTTGGTATGGTGTTTGCATAATTGGAATGGAGCCCAACTTGAAATTATGCTCTTGAATGTCCTGTACTAAAATGGAATCCGTACCTTTGTTTCTTACATCTGGACTTTTAGGTTGTTCATTTGGTTTAGGGACCCATTTTTTGGACTGGATTCCAGATGATTTACCACCCCTCTGGACAAGGGTCCACCCTGTCTCCTGCATTTCCTCTGCCATAGCTTTCCGGGAAAACTCTGGCTTCTTTACCGGTGCTTTTTCCGGTGGATCAGCCGGAGCCTTCTTTTTGCAATCGTGACCTAGTTTGCGACATATAGAGCAAAAGGCAGGGGGTTCTTCATAGATAACCTGGAAGAAAAGGTCTTCTTCGACATGTCGAACATGAATTTTGCTGTGTAGAGGGATTGAAACATCCACCTCCAAGCAAACCCTAGCAGCTTTTGGTATGGAGAAATTGAGGGTTGCATTGTCTACCTTTAAAGGCTTGCCGAGCAATGAAGTGATGTTGAAGAGAGCTTGTTGATCATGGAGGTGTATGGGAAGATTGGGGATTGTGATCCAGACCGGAACAATAGGTGAATCCTCTTCTGGACGCAGATTGGGAGACCACTTAGTGACAACTGTTAGAATAATAGACCAACGCTAGAAGGGGGTGAATAGCGTTTGATCAAGAAATCGCAGGAGTAAAAATGAATAAGCGAGAAGTAAAGAGAAAAGAAAGAGGCACACCGATTTTACCCTGGTTCACCACAACTTGTGGCTAATCCAGCCTCCCGAGAGACTCTCTCGAGCTACACTACTATCTCGTTAAGCTTAACGGTGCTTAACAAACCCGTACAACTTGAGAGTTCGAGTCACACGAACCTCAACGAACCTTCGAAGGAAACAACCCTTCCTTCGAACAACAAGAGAAATACCTTCTCTTGTCAAGTGTCTAAGAACACTAAAAACACTCAAGAACAATACTCTCTTTTTAGAGTGGATATTGAGTAAACTAAGAACGCTCAAGAACACGACACAAGCTTCACAAAAATGGCTCTCAAAAGCTATGAATAATTAAAGAATGATTTGCAATGAAAGAGTAGGAGTTGTGAAGTAATGTTATGTTTAAAC